TGCAGCTCTTCTGGCTGTGAGGATGACCTGGAAATATGAAGCAAATGCATCAGCTCTAATGTTATCTTGCAAGAAAACTCCACACCATCCGCAAATCCCAGCCCCAAATCCAACAAGATTTCTGCAGGAGTTTCTAAAAGACATTTTGCAAGATGATCACCCCCCTGACTCTTCTCACTGGGAAACTTGTCTAAAACCTGAAGATGATGGTTTAACATCCCCATAGTCTAACATATTTCTTTCCTAGTCCAAGCTACTTTTTCCGTGTCACCAAGCCTGAGCTTTCAGCATCACAAACCTCCTGTTTCTTGCCTGGCAGTTTCTGGGATGGGGCATCAGGAATGCATTTACTTGAGTGTCAGTGGCACTGCAGAGATGCACTTGATGGAAGAATCCTCTGAAATAACACAGGCAGACCACAGTGACTGTGGAAAATGGCCTGTAAAGCTGGTGTCCATATTTGGAGAAGCAAAATGGGCTATTTCTGATGGAGGTTCCTACTAACAAAGCCAGCCAATGAAACTGGCTCTCAAGGCGAGATCATTTGGATGTTGCAGTGGCTGTGGCAGCCCCAGGGTTTGGGTTTTTTGCTTGGCATAGCAAAATGAGCTCTGAGCAGCATCTCTGGCAGGGAGGAAAGTGGCCCTGGAGCTGGGGCTGAGGCCCCGCGGTGGATGTGAGCCCGTGTGGGTGTGAAGGGAGCTGGCAGAGCGCTGAGTTTGCTTTCCCTGCAGGCTCGCGCTCTGATCCGGCAGAACGGGACCCCGCAGCTGCAGGAGCCCCGGCGCCTGTCGGCTCTGCTGCGGGACTTCCTCGAGTGCAGCCTGGAGCCGGACGAGGAGTGGCGCTGGGCTGCCCAGGAGCTGCTGCAGGTGAGAGCCAAGGGCTGCAGGGGAAGCAGCAGCGCCAGGGAGGGGTTTTCTTGTGGGGCCCCCTCCGATAGTCTCCAGCCTCGCTGCGTTCCACGCGCAGAGCGAGCAGAATCCTCGCCTGCTGTGGCCTGGCAGGCTCCTTTCGAGCTCATCTGGACCTGGTGCCCCACAGCGAGCAGGGACATCTTCAAGCAGCTCAGGGGGCTCAGAGCCCTGCCTCACCTGAGCTTGGATGTTTCCAGGCAGGAGGCACCTCCCACATCTCTGGGCACCTCCTGTCAGTGTTTCCCCACTCTCCTGGTTAAAAAATTCTTCCTTAGATCTAATCTGAGCCTGCTTCCCTCGATTTTCAAACCATTTCCCTTTGTCCTGTTGCAACAGAGCCTGTGAGGAACTTGACTCTGAAAAGTAACAGTTCATTTCTTTCCTTTTTATCCTTTGGGCAGCACCCATTTTTATCATCAGCCAAGCCTCTCTCCAGCCTGACACCTCTGATCACTGCAGCAAAGCAACTGAGGGAGCAGCGGAGGATATGAAGTTCTTGAGGACAGCTTCTTCTTACAGTAGTTAGGACAACTAGTTAGTCATGGTAGTTAGCACTGGTAGTTAGTTAGGGTAGTTAGCATTGCTAGTTAGTTATGGTAGTTAGAGCAGCCTGATTGTTATGAAAGTTTTATGAATAAAAACGCTCTTAAACCTCAACTCCCTCGACGTGTCCCTTCCCTCTCCCGCTGTGACTCAGCTGCCCGGAGCAATGTGAGGGGAGGGTGGGCCCAGCCTGGCCCAGAGCTGAGCCCCAGCAGAGCCCTGGCAGAGCCCAGAGCAGCCTCGGCACCTGCAGAGTCAGCCTGGAAGGAGGCGCTTGGAGCCTTCTCGGCTGCACCCGACTCTTGGCTACAAACTGTGTGTGCTGGAAAATGCCACCGGCTCTGCAGGAGGGCAGAAGGGGCCCGGGGAAGGCCCAGGTGCTCCATGCAAGGGAAAAACCTGCCCTGGGTTTGTTATAAATAACTAGGTAGTGCTGGCTTTTGCTATTAGGTATTGACTTCTGCAAAATATTCTTAATCACAATGAGTTTGATATAGTACAGTTTGTAATCACTTTTCACTGCTTTTGCTACAGTATAATTTGTCAGCTTTTTGTGGCCAATGCCCTGGACCCTGTGTAGCTCATATCCTCAGAACATCATTTATGGATGATATTTTAGTTAGTGGACAGTGTGAAAAACATACATTATAGTTTTGGCTTTTGCAAAATATTAAAGTGGATGCCATGTGTTGTGCATTAGAATGTTAACTTTTGCAGAAGTAGCCATAATTGTGAAATAAGAACTAATGCTTTTATTTTTGTAAATAATTGACAATAATAACTCAGACATGTTTGTGAAATAGCTAATGTTGGTTTAAAGTACTTGTGGAAATAGCTAAAAGCGTCTGCATGGTCAGATAACATTTAAGGAAGGGATGTGATGAGGACCCCTGCCACTGACCCTTCCACTGTCACCTGCTGAAACCACAGAACAGGGGCCCTTGTGAGGCAGTGACACACAACCCTCAAAACAGCAATCCACGATTCCTGCACGTGCTCTAAAAAGGCGAGTTGGGGGTCAAACCAACCTAAAGAATTCCTGGAACATGTAAATGTGTTCAAAGAAATGTTTGAATATGTATAATCATTATGAATATGTATTTGAACAATACAATGGAAAAAGTAGACAAGAAGAGTTGCTGTGGTTAACCGGTGTGCCTCTGGCCATTGCCAACACCCAGCGCTGTTACTGATTTGTCCCTTATTATTCCTTATTAAACTTTTAAAAATTCTAAAGAGTGAGGTTCCTTTATCACAAAACCCAAGGTGCTCACCCCTTGTTGCTCTCCTAAGCCAGATTTGTCAATCCTAAATTTTGTCTGGGCGGCGGAGGAGGAGGCTGCAAGGAAAAGAAAGATGTACTAGTGTGGAGGCCCAGGACTCTACCATCAGAGTCTCAATTCCACAGCTGTGGAGGACTGAGAAGAATAGATTTCAAGGTTATGGTGAGAAGCTTGCTTCTCCCACAGATCTTTGCTCAGGCACATGCTGATTTATGGAAAGTTATGTTACCCCATTGGCCTGTTGGCCTAATTACCCAAGTTCACCCCCTGTTACCCATCTCTGGTTAGCCCCTAGAATGTTCTCCCTCTCAGTCCCTCCATTGGCCCCAGTTTACTGCATTCCTCTGCCCATTTCCCTATTAGCTGACCCGACCCTTAACCCCTCCTTTTCACCATTTTCCCCCATATACATTGGACCCTGACCCTCAGCTCCACCCTCACTACCCCATACAAAAACCCCCTGTGCCCTCAGCTTGCACCCTGTCTTTGTGCCTGGACCCTGTTCAGCTCTGTCCCCTGCTCCTGTACCAATAAACCCAGTTTGCTGAGATCATACCCAGACCCATCCTGCCGACTTTGTCAGCTTTATAAAGCAGCCGTGAGCTCCGGGCTCCTGAGTGCCGGACGCTCCAAGGGCCTCGGCAGCACCAGGATGCTCCAGACTGGAACAGCCAGGCAGGGCAGGAGGAATCACTGCCCCTTTCCCCTCCCTGCTGCTCCATCTCCCAGCCCAGCATCGCTGCAGGACAGCCTCACTGCCAACGCCATCCTGCCAGGGATGGACTGGGGGGGATCTCCTTCCCCTTCCCTCTGGCATGGAGGCAAATCCCATCTTCTCCTTCTCTGCCCTCCTTCCTCTCCTCATTCCGTCCTTTATCCATCCACGTTCCTTTTCCATCTCCTTCCTCCCTTGTTCCTTCTTCCTTCCTCTCCTCCTGCCTTTTCCCTTCTCCCAGTCTCTTCCTCTCCTTGTCCTTCCTCCCCCAGGCACTGAGCTGTGGACAGAGACCAGGGAGAACAAATCCTTGCCACAGAACCCCGTGGAGAGGCCATTTGGAATGGCTCCACAGGGCAGGAATCCAATGGGGAGGAAAAGCCCCAGAGATCCCACACGAGGAGGGGCTGCAAACCCAGACTGGGGAGCTGTGAGGAGGTAAAACACTTCCTGTGCCGGGAAGGGTGTGGGGAATGTGAGAAGAGCTTCGGGCAGAGCTCAGGCTATTCCTGGTGCCTCCAAAAACGGCGGTGCCCGATGCAGAGATCCCCCTGCAGATCCATGGGGATGCAGAGATCCCCCCGCAGATCCATGGGGATGCAGAGATCCCCCCGCAGATCCGTGGGGATGCAGAGATCCCCCTGCAGCCCCCAGAGCAGCCACGCTGGAGCACGGGGATGCCTGAGAGGAGGCTGTGCCCCCGTGGCCAGAGGGGCCCCGCTGGAGCAGCCTGTCCTGGCAGGACTGACCCCGGGGCACAGTGACCCACGCTGCAGCACTTGGAGGGGGGCTGTGCCCCGTGGGATGGACTCAGCTTGGAGAAGTTCCTGGAGAAGTCTCCGGGGGGAGAGAGCCCAGGGTGCAGCAGGGGAACGACTCCTGTCCCTGAGCAGAGGGAGAAGCCCCGGGGCATGAAGTGAGCACGGCCCCATTCCCTGTCTCCGGCACTGCCGGGGTAGGAGGTGCAGCTGGAAGGAGGGAGGCGTGGGGGAAGGCTGGATTTAAGGCTCTTCACTTACTTCTCATTATCCTGCTCTGAGTTTTTGGAGTTTTCTGTCAGAAATCTCTCCCCTCCCCCACTCATCCACAGGGGTTTGGGGCGGTTTCCCCTATTTGAGGGAAATCAAAGCGATGCACAGATGCTCCTAACTAGGGGTAGGAGAAGTGAGGCTCCTGGCCTCCCGCTGAGCCGGAGCCACCGGAGCCGCAGTGCCGGGAAAGCCGTGGCGGGAGGCGCGGAGAAGTTTGTTTGTGTTTTCAGCTCAATCCCCCTCGGGCCCGGCCCGTTCCAGAGCTGTTCCTCATCTCCGGCTCTGCCCTCACGCAGCCCGGGGGGCCCTGAGAGCGCGGGGCGAGGCTGTGCCATGTGCAGAGCCCGCCCCCGGCTGCGATTGGGCGACGGTGCCGTCAGTCGTGGTTCTGGCGCGCTGATTGGTGGGATCGGGGCGGGGCAGGGCCCCGGTGGCGGCCTGAGGGCGGCCGTGGCTCGGCAGCGGCGCTATTGGCGGAGCGTCTGTGCGGACCCGGGAGCGGCGGGAGCGGCAGCAGCGGCCGGAGCGCGGTGAGGCGGCGGCGGAGCTGGGAGGCGGCCGCAGCGCAGGTGGGAGCGCGCTGGGTTGTGCGGGGGCTCGGGGCTGGCTGCGGGCCTCGGGGGCGGCAGGGGGCTCAGGCGGGTTCGTTGTGCCGTGTCCGGCGCGTGTTGCCGCTGGCGTGAGGGCGCTGCGGGAGCGGCTGCCCGCGGTCTCCTTGCGGCCGCTGCCTCGGCAGGAGCCGCTGCCGGAGCAGCGCTGGCTCGGCCCGGTTGCTGTGGCTGGGACAGAGGCGGCTGCCCCGTGCCCGTGGCTGTGCGGGGAAATTGACGTGGCCGGAGGTTTCTGTGCCCCGAGGAGACAGAGGAGTCCTGTACAAGTGACTTTATTGCTGAGCAGAGGGAGAGGCCATGGGGCATTTGCCCTGCGCTCTCTGCCATTGTTGTAGTTCGCAGCCTCCTTTTTATCCTCATTTTCCCGGCCTCATCTCCCTCGCCTTTTGCCCACTGGCTGAGGTACTTGGACGGTTCAGACCTCCCGATCCGCCAACTGCATGTCCTCGTTAATGTGCATTCCCACTTTTGTAGAACAGCCGATATTCCTGGCTCTGTTAAGTCTTTTTTCTTTTCCTCGAAGTTCATGAATTTAGAGGAATTTTGAGCAGCAGTCCGTGTCAGTTTGTTCTATTGTCTGAAACTGATGGTTTTTCCCATTACTTCCTTCTCTACAAGTCCCTGGCCCTATCTCCAAGCAGATTGACTCATTGACTCTGTTTTTTTTTTCTTACTGAGTCTTCTTTGGTTTTGGAATTATTCTGAGTGCCCTCATTCCCTGTCCTTCTCTAGGCATTCCTGGATCAGGAGGCCTGGCTGCCCCCTGCATCCCCTCGCTCACCTGCTGAATGAGCTGCATCCACAACATTCTCCATTTGCTGTTTCCTTTTGCAGCTGTACCAATTTCTGTTGCAGAGTCAGATATCCTCACCATGGGCTCTGCCTTTAGCTGTGCAAATTCCATCAGTGCAAGCAGGCAGAGGGAATCAGCCCAATTCCTGCCCCGGGTAGGAAGACCCAGGTACATTGTCCAGGCTTTGCCCCAGCAGGGTTAATTTGCATTTCTAAAGCTCCTCTCCGGGCTACCTGAAATAAAGCTTCTCTTCCGGAGCAGCCATGCAGCCCACCCCACCCCCCCCAGAATCTGCTTTTTAGTTGTTGTTGGTTTTGGTGGGTTTTGTTTGTTTTTTATTAATTTGGTTGGTTGTTTTTTTGTTTTGTTATGGTTTTAGGTGGGGGGAGGGTTTTTTGTTTGTTTTTTAAACAATATTTAAACAAACTATTAACCGTTTCTGAGTTAAACGGTCACCTTTAAAGCAGTTCTAGGTGAATGTTGAAAAACCCATAGCAAAACTTGATTCTCACACTTCTGTCCCAAACCTACCTAACCATATAAAGTAGGATTATTTTGAAAAACGATTCTCACGTTGTATTCTTGTCACTGAAACTGCGGGGAAAACAAAAACCCTCCAACAATATCTTTAGTGTTAGAGAGTCAAGGCATTACTTGGTTTTGGCAAAGATATGCAGCACACATCATTCCATCCACACATAGCCCGAGTGTGCAGAGAAGATCATTCCATGACACGTGAGATTTATTAGTTTTTTCCTAAACTTTATGTAGTCTGAACCAATCTAAATCCACTGGTTTAATGTTCATTGCTTCCAAGTGGTGTAGTTTTTAGTATTTGGTTTCCTATTAGATCCGGATTCCTTCCCCTCTGGAGTTAATTAGCTCCACACTCCTGGATTTCCTTCTCAGCCTTTTCCAGACCAGGTGTCTCCAACTCTGCCGGGGGCAGTGTCTGGGGTAGCTGTTGGTTGCTGTTTGCTGCTGGGCGTTGATGTTTTGTTGCAGGTCGTTATCTCTGTGGGTGTCTTTTGGGCTATTCCCAGTCTGTGGAGATGTTTAGCTCATCTCCATTGAGTGGTGTAACATCCTTTAAATAAAACCTTTAAAATTCCTTTCCCCAAGGCAAAGACAAACCAAGCCTGAGGAGAGAAAGAAGATTTAAAAGAACCAAAATGGGTACATTTTGCAGCAATGCAGTCGCAGTCAGCCCAGAGTGTGGGTGTGAGTGAGCCCCAGAGTGGAATTGTGCCGTGGTGCTCCCCAGCAGCTGTGGCAGTGCAGGCCCAGCCAGCGCTGAAGCTGCAGCAGTGGCAGCAAGGCTTGGCCGCAGTGGCTGGAGGTGCCAGAGGAGGGTGGCCAGGATTTCCGAGGGTTTGAGCAGAGGATCTGTGGGCAGGCCCAGGGGCTTGGCCCGCTGTGGAGCCCTGGCTGCTGCTGCGTTGCCTTCAGGGCAGGCTCAGGGGCGGCTGCCATGGTCCTGCTGCAGGCGGGAAGTGCAAATCTCCGGGGCTTCAGAGCCCTTGAGGCCAGGCTGAGGGGTCCCCCCGTGTTCAGCTGTGCTGGCGGCTGTTTCTGGCCTCAGGGACACTTGGCATGGGCCCCTTGGCCACCAGTGGTGCTGCTTTGCACTCCTTAGGCAGGAGCCGATGTCCTGGCTGGGTGTTGGCAACAGCAAAGTGCCAGGGCAGGCTCTGTGCCAGCCCAGCTTCCTGTGGGAGAGATTTCACAAGAGACAGGATTCTGGCCACGGACTGCTTGAAACATACATCCCTTATCTCCACCCTGCACAAGGTGGAGAATTACCAGGGTAAGGAATTCCAGACATCAATTCCAAGTGAGATAATTGAATATCTGCCCTGGGTCGGGTTCTTCTTCTTGCCATAGCCAATGGCAAAAGCTGTACCCACGGCATCTTGGTTTTTATCACCAGCTTCCAAAAGTGTTTCTTTATTTCTCCTGACCTGAGCTCAGGGGGTGCCAGGGGTTATGGAGGTCCCATTGTATTCCTAAAGTTGCCATAACCCCCTGAAGGATCTTTCGAGTAAAATTAGTTCTTCTTTCTGAGTCTATTCCTTCCACAATCCCTTGTCTATGAATTGTTTTAGAAATACCTTAATAAGTGATGCAGTGCTTGCTGAAGCAGTCAGAATTGCTTTTGCCGCCCTGTTAGGTGCCATGGTGTCAGCAGAAGATATTGAAGCCTTCCTGCCCAGGGCATTTCAGTGCCAGGCTCTTACAAGCACCCACAGCTCTGCGGGTTGAGCTGAGCATGGGCCGGTGACCTGCGCTTTGTCTGATTCCCCTTCCTTAATAACAGCCTGTCTTGTAGCTCTTTTCCCTTCTGCTGCCCTTGCAGAGCCATCCACAAACACATTTTCTCCCTCAGTCCAGGGATTGTCTCATCAATCTCTCCCAGCCTGGTTCTGGAGCTCTGTCCCTTGAATGCAGTCCTGGGTGTCTCGGTTCCTCTGCGAGCCTCTCAGGAACCCTCGGCCAGTCCCGAGTCGGCAGACACCGGGGGGGGGGCAGCCCCGACACGGCCGACAGCGGGCAGACACTCTCTGTGCCCCGAGGGTACTGAGGGTACCTGGACTGGTCGCCTTTGCAGCACAAGAGACACCAGAGACAGCACAAGAGACACCAGAGACAGCGGTAGAAGATAAAGGGCCGACTCTTAGCAGGGGTTAATTCGAGATTTTATTAGGAGTCCCAAAGGAGCTCCTGCACCTCAGGCGGCCTCCTGTCGAGAGCCCGGGAGATGTGCCAAGGTCACATTTAAAGGGAGGTGGAAACCAAAAGTAGATAACATTTTACCAACCTATAAGTGACCCTAAGGGATGGATGCTGGGGGATAAACATATAGGACAGCGTATGGGGCAAGGCTGGGGGGGCTGACCCCTGGCCTCTGGCTAATCACTCGACAACCTGGACCGAAACTTCTGGATGGAGGGGATGGGATGCTGAGTGATTGACAGAGAGCCAGGGTGGGGGTTTGGGGATGATCTCATCCCGGGAGAGGGATTACACAGGTAAAGGGAGAGGGGTACAGTTTGGGATAAACCATTTGGGAAAAATATGGGGATACAAAACAAAACTACTTCAAAGTATTACAAAGTATAAAAACGCACTACAACACCTGAGTTTCTTGCCAGCCCCTCTCCAGGCTGTTCAAACAGGAGGCTGGGTTAAACCCTTGCCCTGTCCTCAGTTCTGAATCCTCCTGTGCCACTGAACAAGTTTCATACTGTAATAACCGAGCCCTGCTCATCCATTTAGAGGCTCTTTTGGTTGTCAAAGCTGTAATTTGATGCCAGATGTGAATAGGAGATCCTCCTGTTGTCATCAGTTTTCAGGACTCAGTTCCCATGTGAGCTGTGGCTGCACAATTCTGCAGACATTGAGGCCACTCTGGCCACTGGGTTAAACATTTTAACACAAGAATTCTTCAGCATGGCCCTGTTTAACATCCACCTACAATTCAAATTCTTTCTCCCTGTCTAGGAGGGCCAGGGCAGGAGCCTCAGTTAATCTGCTTTTTAACACTTGAAAATTCTGTGACTCCTCCTTGTGTCCATCCATCCAGTTTCTTGACTGGAGTGTTGTAGGGAGAGATCCCTGGCTCCAAAACCCTGCCTTTAAGAGAGAGTCAGTAATAAGCTGTAAGCCCTTCCTTCCCTCTCTTGGAATAGGGTATTGATTTTAAATCAATACAAGCAACCTCTTGTCCTTGTTGCTTCAAAGTAATTTGGTGAGGCTCCATATCTAATTTTCCCTCTTTCCCTGGACTGTCCACATTTGTGGGTTCACTTCAGCATAGGCCTTGCCAGACATTTGACACATAAGTACAACATCATAAGCCTCTGTATCACCTTTTACAATATAAAAATCCAGCCACCAAATTCCTTCCCAGTAAATTGCAATCACAGTAGGAAGAAAAAGAAATTAATTTATTTCAAACATATCCCCTACATCTCCTCATAGTGGTTGATGAAATCATACCTGCTCATCTTTCCCACTTATTCCCTTAATAATTAAACCATGCCTTTCCTATTTTGCCCGTTAGGTCTAAGATTCAGAGTGGATTGAGAGGCCCCTGTGTCCATCAGGAGAGGCCTCCTCTCAATGCCAACCCACCTGAATGTTCTCAAGGGCTCCAGTGTGGAGGGCCCCTGGTGTGATGGGAGCTGTGACAGCCCTGCCAATCCATGTCCATCAAGGGGTGGACTTGCTGGTCCTGAGGGTGCTGCTGTCTGTGCTTGCAGTGTCCTTGTGCCCTGCAGCTGGAGCCCTGATTCCTTGCCAGGGGCTGTTTGGGTGGGCTGTGCCCTGCCGAGGAGGGCAATGCCTCTGCCGGGTGCTTGTGGCCGAGCCCGTGCCCTGGGTGCTGGGGCCCCCTTGGGCCCTGGGGTTGATCCCTCAGGGGCTGTAGGAGCTCTGCCCTGGCCTTTGCCTTCAGCCTGGCCTTTTTCTGCTTCCTTCTTGCATTCACCTGCTGTGCCTTTGTGCCCAAGTGGTGCTGGGCCTTCTTCTGCCCCTCCTGCAGCCCCCCTCAGTGCCTGTGGGTGCTCATCCTCTGAGAGCTGCTGAGTTTTCTGCAAAATCATTCGTTTCTGTGGTGATCCCAAGAAAAGAAAAGAAAAGAAAATCTGGATCCTTCCATGTACAATCTGTATTTCCCAGGTGTTCCTTGCTCCTCGTCCCTGTGCTCAGGGTGCCCTCCCCAGCCCGTATCCCAGAGCCGGTCCCTGTCCTGCCGCAGTGTCCAAAGGCGCCCCCCGGCGGGCAGGGCCGGCAGCTCCACGGGGCCGGGCAGCGGCCGGGGCGTCCCGCAGCCTCCTGGGGGCCGGGGACCACTGCCGGCCCTGCCCGGGGCTGGTGGGGTCAGGCAGCGCCCGGCGCTGAGCCCCGGCTGCCCCACAGCCCCGGCCCGGCCCCGCAGCTCCCCCCAGGCCCCCAGCCCGTGCTCCCGGTCCCGCACCTCTGCGCCCGGTGCTGCCGCTGCCCCCCACAGAGAAACCCCCTGAAACCCTGACCTCCTTGTTTTCCTCTCCTGGAAACCGGGGATGCAAATGATCAGCTGGCAAATGTTGAGGATAAGACCCTGCTGAAAAACATCCAAATTCTGAGTATTTTTCTCTTCCTCCCCTTTTCTTTTTCTCACCACATAGATTCCTCCTGCTGCTTCCTGCCTTAACCATATTCCTGCACACTCCCCTTCACCCAGTCTCTTCCCAGCACACCAATGCCATCCATCCCCTGTTGTCCTAATCCCTTCTCCACTTCTCTTATTGCCCCCCTGGGTGTCCAAGTCCTTAATTGCCTCTGAGGGAGTGTGCAATCTACCTCACCCTTCTCCCAAGGGACCCTTCAGAGATATTTTGGGATCATCATCCCTTTGGCACAGGACCCCTTCCTGGCCTTCCCTTTTCTGTCTCCATGGGTGCCCTGCCGTGCTCACTCCCCAAAGATCCCAGTGCACTCACTGATGAGATTTTCAGTGCTCTCTCCCTGCTGACTCTTCACAGCCCCCCCTGATGTGTCACTCGTCTGTCTCCTGGTCACTCTCAGGTACCCAATCAGTCCCCGGTGCTGCCGCCCCCAAGGGGGCCGATCACCCAAACTGGGTGAGGCACCTTCAGCTGCACTCACTGCCCGCTGCCCCAGACGGTGGATAGAATTCTGGACGAGTCCCAAGGTGTGTGGAAAAATTGACGTCACCAGAGGATTCTGTCCACAAAGCAGACAGAGGAGTCCTGTAAAAGTAATTTCATTCCTAAAGAAAGGGAGAGGCCATGGGACATTTCCTACAGGGTCTCTCCAGTTGTTGGACACAGCCTCCTGTTCATCCTAATTTTCCCAGCTGCATCTCCCTCTTCCTTTCCGCATTGGGTGGTGTACTTGAGAGGAAGAGACTTCCCAATCCACTTACTACATATCCCCTTGATATGCTCCCTACTTTTGTGTAGCAACCGATATTCATGGCTCTGTGAAGTCTTTGTTGTTCTTCTTCTCGAAGTTCATGAATGTGGCAGGACCTTGGCTGAGCAGCAGTCTGTGTCATCAGTTAACAACATTTTCTTAAACTGATGGCTTCTCCTGTCGCTTCCTTACGTACAAGTTCCTGGGTCTATCTCTCATCAGATTCACAGCATCTGATTGTAAAGACACTTTCCTCTTCTTCCTTTCATGGGGGTCCCCCGTTTGTGGGATATCCCCCCTGGAGCTGTGTGTCCCCTCTTGCTGCAGCCCCAGCCCTCAGGCAGGGCTCAGCCAATCAGAGCACGCGGCTTTGATGACTCAGCAGTTGCCAGGCAGACCCGCAGCTCCCAGCGTTCCCCACCTGCGCCCCGCCCCCCTCGGCCCCAGCGCCCCCCGCGAGTGGAATTTTGGAGGTGGGAGTGGGGCAGCGCCAAGGCCGGGCCCCCCCGCGCTGTCCTGGCGGGAGCGGCTGCAGTGGGGACCGAGTGCGGGCGGGAGCGGCCGAGAGCCCAGCGCTGCCCCAGCCCGACCTGCCCCAGCTCCATCCCTGCCCCTGCCGTGGGATGCTGTGGGTTTGGGGGCAAGAGGGAGCCGGCAGCGGGTGCTGGGCCTGGGGCAGGAGGAGAAGGGAAGGAGAAGCAGGGTTGAGGAACAAAAGGGTCAAACGATGCCCGTGGGAGGAGAAGGTGGGATTGTGCAGGAGAAGGAGGAATAGCAGAAGGAAGAGGAGTGTGAGGAAGAGCAGGAACAGAGGAGGAGGAGGAGCAGAAAGAGGTGGCACCACACGGTTCTACTCCTCCCTGTATCTGCAGCCTCCCCCCCAGCCCCAGGAGCTTTGTCCATATGCAGCAGGTGACCAGGGGAGGGGGAATCCATGATTTTCACAGAGGCTGAATCTTGGGGTTTCTGAGCTTTACTGGGCAAATGTTGGTGCTTTTGTGCTTTGTGAGGGCTGAATCTCTGTATTTTGAAGGAGGTTTTTGCTGAATAATGACGTTTGGGAAGTTTTTGATCTGCATCTTGATGTTTAGAGGATTTTTGTGCTGAATCATGGTGTTTTGGAGGTTCTTTCAGACACAAGATGCCCAATAACTTTCCCAGATGAACTTGGGCATGGAGGTTTTCCCAGTCCAAGCTGCTGTCCTCTTGATTTTTTCTGCAAACCAGGATTTATAATTCTCAGGGTGTGGCCTGATGGAGGAGGAGGAAAAGCCCCGAATGTACCTCATGAAGAGGGGCTGCAAACCGTACCCAGGGAGTTCTGGGGAGGAAAGAGCCCCTGTGAGCCAGTTATGCATCCTGCGATCCAGCCAGAGCTTGGAGCTGGTGGAGAAGCCTCATGGCAGGGAGAAGCCACACAGGTGCTTGGAATGTGGGAAATGTTTCAGCTGGAGCTCCACCCTGAGGCAGCACCAGGTGATCCACACTGGGGAGAGGCCCTTTGAGTGTGGGGAGTGTGGGAGGAGTTTCAGCCACAACTCCATCCTGATCCAACACCAGAGGATCCACACTGGGGAAAAGCCATTTGAGTGTGGGGAATGTGGGAAGAGCTTCAGGCAGAGAGGCCAACTGATACGACACCAGGTGATCCACACTGGGGAAAAGCCCTATGAGTGTGGGGAGTGTGGGATAAGCTTCAGCCAGAAGGGCTACCTGATGCAACACCAGAAGATCCACACTGGGGAAAAGCCCTTTGAGTGTGGGGAATGTGGGAGGAGCTTCAGAGGAAGCTCGGCCCTGATTCGGCACCAGGTCATCCACACGGGGGAACGGCCCTACACCTGCTTGGAATGTGGGAAGAGCTATGGGTGGAACTCTGACCTGAGAAAACACCAGCGCACCCACACTGGGGAGAGGCCCTATGAGTGTCCCCAATGTGGGAAGAGGTTTCACAGGAGCTCCGATCTCCTCAAACATGAGCGGATTCCCACAGAGGAGAGGCCCTTCCGCTGCCCCGACTGTGGGAAGGGCTTCAAGGAAAACGCCAAACTCACCATCCACCGGCGCATCCACACTGGGGAGAGGCCCTACGAGTGTGGGGAGTGTGGGAAGAGCTTCTCACAGAGCTCTCACTTGACAGAACACCAACGGAGGCGCCACTAAGGGAAGCCCTGTGAGTGCCCCACGTGAGGGAAGCCCTTTGTGTGCTGCTCCAGCTCTGTCCCCCATGAGACGATCTACATTGGATGATCCCCAGTGAGCGTTGTTGGGCAGAGCCCTGGTGATCCATGGTCCTGGTGATCCATGTTGGGAAGACACCTGGCTGGGGGGCTCCACATCTTCCTGGTTCCCTGTGGGCAGCTAGATAAACCCAGCAGCAGGAACATCCATTGGGACACAGACCTACAATGGGAATTCCTTGGGGAGGGCAGATTTGTTGACTTTCAACCCCATAAAATCTTTTGCATTCAATCCTATCTTCTGGTGACATCAGGGAGTACTGAATGGTGTTGAAGGTATGTTCAGGGTGGACTATATGATGCTTGCATCTCCAGTCTGTTCTGTTTATGCTGAATAATAAGTTTTGTACCTTTAAGACTTGTCCTGAGAGTGAAGAGGGAGAGAAGAAATGCAGAGTTTGTTTTCAGAAACTGCACTCACTCCTCCACATTCCTGCTCCTGCACTGTGTTGTCTGCAGATGGACAGACAGCGGGACAGAGCTCTCCTTTGCTTTTAGTTAGTTTTAGCTGGCTGAGGCAAAGTAGTTCCCTACTGTGGGGTTTTTTCCCTTTTCTTTGGACCTGCTTAAACCTGCTCTGGCCTGAACACCAGAAGAGCACGGGCAGCTCACACCTGTGGCCCACCAGGCCGGGCCTGGGCCGCGGCATTTCCAGCGCCAGAGGGACTGATAAGGGACTGAGTGAGCTGAGCTACAGCCCACAGAGGGACTTGGTGAGTTTGTCTCTCTTTTAGAGCAGCAAGAGGTTTTAATGTTTAATATTGTTTAGGTTTTATTGTGTAATAAACAGTTTTTTCCACTTTTCTTCAAAGAGTTATTTTATTTTTCCTGAACCAGTTGGGGGACACATGGACATGGAGGGGGACATAGCCATTCATGGGGATGTGGGTGGACACAGGCATGGATGGAGATGTGGGGAACAATGACAGGGATGGAAACATGGTGGGGAGACAGCCGTGGGTGAGGACATGGTGGGACATGGGCAGTGACATGTGGGGACATGGCCATGGCTGGTGCCATGGGGGGAACTTGCAGGGGATGTGGGGGATGCTGGGTTTGAGGGAGTTGAGGGTTCCTGGGAGGGATTTGGGGCTTGCTGAGGCCTTTGGGGACCCCAGGCCAAGTGGCTCTGGCTGTGCTGGGAGACCATGGGGGAGGTTCTGGGGCAGCTGCTCAAGGACCCCCTGAACTGGAGCCCCAGCCGGGCATTGGGCTCCTGGAAGGGGATGAACATCCTTGTCCCCAGGAAGAAAATCCCAGCACCCCCAGGGTGTCAGGGGCAGCTGAGAGGCCACAACAGGAGGGGAAAGCCAGACAGAGCTGTCACACTCTTAAACTACACCCCAAAAGTCCCAAAACTGAGGGATTGCTCCCAGGAAAAAGCAGCCAGGAGATGCATGAATTGAGGGAAAGGGGGGATGTGACCCCCTAGACTGAGCAGGAGGGACCTGCATCCCCCAAAACCAAATAGGGACGAGAGGCGGAGCTGAAGGCACGATGGGAAAGGGGTGGGAGTGCAGGGAAAAAGAGGATTCAGAGTGGGAGAGGGATGGGATCCCCAGATTGAGTTGGGAGGGGTCCTTTGGTTGGGGGAACGATAGGAGAGGGGAGGGAAAGTTGGAGATGGGATAGAAAAAGGGTGGTTCCGTGGGGATCCCACTGTGTCCCCATCGCTTGATCCCTGGAGTGATTCCCTGGGGCTCTGGAGGGGAATGGATCTGCACTGGGTGGATTCCCAAGCCCCCTGCCCATCCCTGGGTGGCTCATGGGGCTTTCCCTGGTTCCTTCCACCCAAACGCTGCAGCCATGGGAGAGAGAAGGGTGTGAAAGGAGGATCTGGATTGGGCATGGAGGAGGAGAAATAGGAAGAGGAGGGAGAGAAGAAACGGAGGATGGGAAAAGGAAGAGCAGGAAGAAGAATAGAAAGAGGAGGAGCTGCAGCAGAACCACGCTGTTTTCCCACTCGCCCACTGAGTCTGCAGCTCCCCTGGCCCTGGCAGCATCTATCCCCCCCAGATCTCACAGGTGAGTGGGGAGGGGGAACTCACCCCAAATCCATTGGAGGATCTCTGGGAGGGTTTGTTTCAGGGGAGGGGATGCTTGGATCTTGCAGGGCCCCAAGGGTGAGACACAGATGCCCCTTTGGAGAACTGTGGAAGGTTCCTGTGGCAAACTGTCTGTACTGGCTGGGGCAGTGGTACCAGCTGGGGGGGATATTGGTATTGGGACTCTGATTGGCATCAGAGTGGGGAGAGCAACGAAGGCCAATCCTGGAGCTGGGGGATCCTGTCAGCCTGGAGGGGTGGGGGAGGCTGGAGATGAGCAGGGTCTGGGCCCATCCAACTGTGAACAGGGCGGTTACTTTTTGAGCTGGACTTGGGAAGCAGGACCAAGGGCCTCACCTGTTGTTTTTCCCCCAAGCCAGGATTTGTCAATCCCAATCTTTGTCTGGATGGAGCTGGAGGAGGCTGCGAGGAAAAGGAAGATGGCCTGGGACACTGAGGCAGGCAAGGAGGAAGTCACTGCCCCTTTCTCCCTCTCCTCTGTTTCATGTCTCAGCCCAACATTTCCTCTGGCTGCAGGACAACCCCGCTACCAATGCCGTCCTGCCAAGGATGAACTGGGGGGATCTCCTTCCCCTTCCCTCTGGCACAGAGGCAAATCCCATCCTGTCCTTGTCCACAGCTCCTTCCCCTTCTCATTCTGTCCTTCTTCCTTCCTCATTCCTTCCTTTCCTTTCCTTTCCTTTCCTTTCCTTTCCTTTCCTTTCCTTTCCTTTCCTTTCCTTCCCTTCCCTTCCCTTCCCTTCCCTTCCCTTCCCTTCCCTTCCCTTCCCTTCCCCAGGCACTGAGCTGCAGACAGAGACCAGGGAGACCAAATCCCTGCTGCATAACCTCATGGGAGAGGCCGTTTTGAGCAGCTCCATGGCATGGGAATCCAATGGGGAGGATAAGCCCTGGAGATCCCACACAAGGAGGGGTTGCAAACCCAGCCCTGGCAGCTGTGAGGAGGAAAGATGCCCCCTGTGTCCAGAAGGCAGCCAGAGATTCATTCAGAACTCAGAGGTGGTGGAGACAACTCATGGCTGGCAGAAACCCCACAAGTGCTTAGAATGTGGGAAGGGCTTCAGCCGGAGCTCTGGAGCTCAGATGTGATCTGGCTCCAGGTGATCCACATGGGGAAACGGCCCTACAAGTGTGGGGAGTGTGGGAAGGGCTTTGGGTGGAGCTCCAACCTCATCAATCACTGCAAGATCCACACTGGGGAGAGAACCTATGAGTGTCCCGAGTGTAGGAAGTGGTTTCTGAGCAGCTCCAATCTCATCGTAATGAGTCAAGGGGTCAGCTGGAAATGTATTTACGATAATTGAAAACTGTGGTTGAGTCAAGGGGCCAGCTGGGAGTATAACTGAGATAGTAGAAGATTACATATTTTAGTTAAGATTTTAAAATTAGTTAAAAAGGTATGTTAGCTAAGCAAAAATCACATAGGTTAGTGAAAGAGTAACAAATATATTAGAAAGTAAAGCTCGGAGTGACAGGGATAGATGTAGCAATTGTGGAGGAGCAGAGACCATAGAAATATCTTGCCTTAAGAATAATCAGTTTGGAGTGGCTTGGACCATGACCAGCAGATCAAAAAATCCTGCAAACTCGCCATGGGTGAAGAGTTTACCATGAGGAAGAGAGCTTTCTTCTTCACATACGCCCACTCCCTTATTTCAAAATCCCACAGACCCAATTAAGGCAGTGCAATTGCGCAGTCATATTAGGTATTCAGCTGACTATAATACAAAGTGGGCAGATAATGATTATGTATTATGCATCCTTAGAAACTGCTTGGATATGTAAAACCTTTTCTGTATAAATAGAGAGCAGGAGTCTGCAACTCCTTGCACATCCATTTGGAAATGATTCCTTATGTGTCCAGCACTGCAATAAAATACCCTTCTTTTCAACTTTAATTAGTTGAAGAGTTGTCTGTCCAGGCTTCAGTACATCCGCAGATTCACACAGAGGAGAGGCCCTTCCACTGCCCCGACTGCGGGAAGGGCTTCAGGTGCAACTCCACCCTCGTCACCCACAGGCACATCCACACTGGGGAGAGGCCCAATGAGTGTCCTGTGTGTGGGAAGAGATTCTCCAGAAGCTCTCACTTGGTCCAACACAAATGGAGGCACCATTAAGGGAAGTCCTGCCAGTGTCCCCCATCCCGGTGTCACCCCCTTTTTTCTGCCCTCAGAGCTCCTGAGCCAGTGGCAGCCGCAGCCCCTTCCCGTGGCCTTGCACCTGACTGAGACCTCCTGTGATTGCGCAGGGAGGATTGGGGTGTGACTGAGCAGGGAGGGTGGGGTCCAGGGAACACTGGGTGCTGTGGGTCTGCCCAGCAACTGGTGAGTCATCAGAACTGCTCTCTCTGATTGGCTGACTCTTGTTCATCACATTCTCTGATTGGCTGTGGAGAGGCCTGGGAGTTGAGTGCAGGAATGGGAGTGATCCCGCGCAGAGCACCAGCATTGGCAAAATAGAGCCAGCCTGAGACAGGGAGTGAATTTATTACCAACCAAATCATATCAGGACAAAGAGAAGGGAAAGGAATCTCTCCAACATCTTCCCCCCACCTAGGGGGGTTAATGATGATGGAGAGACGGGGACATCTGAGTTTAGATCAGAAGCCAATTTTATTGAGTATGCCAGGGATTTATAGGGGGTTTTACTTGTATGGTAGTTTTATAGGGCTCAATTTTTTGTAACAATTTCCCATTGGTTACACATTCTTGAGGACATCAGGTCACCTGGTAACGTCACAAAGTATCACAACATGTTTCTTGATCACTTCTTGCCCAGGGAACCTTTGTGTCTGTCTTTCCCACAGTTTCCACTCAATCAGGCCTCAGATATCAGGCCCCTTTATCAGTTCTAC